CCCAAAAAGGGATAAACAGTGCATGATTATAACATAGAGAGGCATCTATATATGTACCGATTACTTGTTTAGTGGGGCCAACGGTAGAAGAGGGGAACTCAGGAAATTAAAATCTGTTGTTCGTGGAAAAAACGAAAACGATCATTTGTATTCGTTCTCAGCATTCGATTGTCCATGCTTACAACTACATCTAATCGGAACAAATGCTGAAAACCATATTCGAAGTAACAAAGCTTTGAGACATTCAAACACCACAGACGAGGAAACCGTTGCACGATTGATAAACAGAAATCTAAACTCACAATTGATTTGAAGAAGCAAAGATCGTAGGTAGACCTATTCTCTTCTCGACATTATTAGTGAAACGGCAAGTGCTATTAGATACGGTACCATGTTCCAACTGTAATTGCTGAATTGGGAACAGAGTGTGCATCTCCAGGTAGATGAATAGTACTGAAACATGAATGAGTTAGAAACTAACATGGAAACTGCAAAAAGACAAGTCTGCCCTGATGTTGCTGATGATATCCTCAAATGAAGCTATAGGTTGATCAGAAGCTGTAAGATTGAATGAGAAAAAAGGTTTTCAAAGTTCTGACGATTGAGAATAAGTGACCACAAATGCGATTTCATAACTCCCAGCTGTAAACGATATACGAATAGAGATGTCTGAAACAAAGCAAATCAACTTCAACTTTTACCGTTCAGAATAGAAAACATTAAAGAACATACTATCAGAAGCATAAACACATAGAAAATCTGAAAAATGATTAGATAATTAATTTTTTGAAACTTTGTGTACGTGATTGAGCGTGAGCAAGAAGGTATTCTGCTTCTCTAACACTCGGAAGCACCCTCTCTGTTCTGCATGCACTCTAAATTATTAAGCTTCAACTTTTCTAATACCTATCACTATTTCAATGATTTGCTTGAATATGATAAAAGGCAGTTTTTCCTTATCCCTCCGAAGCAGACAAGCCATGAGGCCAAAAGCCGAGAACAGCCGGCTCATTTTTTTTCACGTAAAAATGTATTCAGTTCGAGTTCATTGCTTCAGCACAAATAGAACCATGTGAGGGATCTAATGTTTATTAAACTATTGTCAAAGGTACCACCACATGAAAAGAACGCTGATGTCGAAGGAAATCCCATAAACAATATTTGAATGTGTTTGAAATCTTAGCAACAAACGACTGTTATGGAGTCAAAAACAGCTTGGAACTTCAGCATTATCGAGTAACAACGATGAGGAAACAAAGATACAATCATACAGCTCCAAGCGAAGAGATGGACTGATGATCGATTCACCAGCTGAAGAATACATGGCTGGACAAAAAGAGTTTCCAAACGATGAGCTCAGCTACAATATCGTAGTTGAGGGAGGTGCAGGAGATGTAACCAGACGCGCTGGAAAATATTAATGAAACTTATACTGAATGGGAATGATTAAAACAATAAAGAACTAACTTCTTTTGATTATCATGTCTACTCTGTTTCTGTAGTCCACGTTAGACATGAGGACATAGTATGGGCCGAATATGGGATATATACTCATGGAGATGAAAGCATATTGAGCAAAAACTGTAAAACGATTATTCAGTTCTCCGTGAGTAGCTCATAAAGTGGAAAGAACATACTTGGGAGTCCAACGTTGAACATACCACATACGGCAAGACATATAATTGGAAGGCCTAACCCGACTAGTTCTAAAAACACCTGAAAGGGTATTATAATTCTGAGATCGTAGTTGGGAATCTTACGAAATATATAATCCCAATGGTGAGCCTACGCTGATTGGCTAAAAACTGAACAGACTGCGATGACTTCGCTTGAATTTTGATACTTCGGATGAGAATAGTTCCACAGATACTTGAGACAATCAGATAAACGCTAGTGAAGGATATCATGTAGAATAGTATGAATAGTATGCTCATATCTCGAGATGGTATTATGTGAAATACAAAATTTGAATTCACTACCTGGTAATACTCAGAAGATATTATCTGGAACGAGTGTCACGAAACCGATAAAATATTTGTAAAACCTTTAAACACTGTCGTCGTCCCTCTTCATTCAAATCCTTTATAGTCAATCCAGCAGCAGCTAGGAAAACGACTTGTCCAACTGCTTGACTGAAGAACACGCTCAATATCACCTTTTTCCATTTTCTCATTTCTGAAGAAATTGCAAGAGTTCGGTTTATGACTAGCAGCAGAGAGAAAGATCCACTGACTGAAATAGAACACTCTCTTTCGTTTTATCAGTTGATTAATGGCCATTACGTGAAATTAAGATGATTTGAGTCCACAGCTGCACAATATTACTGACTCCTAAAAACCTAAGCAACCCGTTGCCATAACCAGATAGGCATGGGAAAAGTGCATACGGTGTTGTCCCTAGTGTTAGATAAATTTGTGCGATGGCTGATCTACAAAAATATGGATTATAAAGTTCAACAAGAAAGCCCCCACATCAGGTCGTGTCCATGAATAGCGAATTGGGTGAATAAGTTCAGTTTAGTTGGTACAGTTTTGAGTAGGTACATGGAGAAAAATATGATGCAAAATCCAAAAGTGGACAAGAAGTACATAATGATGAAATAAAAATTCATTATAAACTAACTGACAGAAATTGGTACTCGCTCGAATAACGATTCTGAAGTCAAGCCTGATGTGAAATAATCCTTCCAGGCGATGTTTGGTGAAATTTCATTGTTTGCAAATGTAGATGGTATCTGTATTGACTCCAAAAAAAGATTGGAAAGGCTACAAAGCTAGTGTAGCTTGTTTCCTAAATATTCAAACATCTCCCAGATTCCATTCAAGTAATAGAATGTTAACTGCTAAAATCTCATTTAGTTTATCATGGGTGACAGCATAGCATACATAAACAGTCATCGAATGAATTGAAACTACCTCAAGAATCATAGTGCTACATCTTTCACTAACCCTATTCCTTCTTGTTTATTCCTATTCTTCAAACTACTCCTACACTGGTCCAGCTGACGTGCCATGTAATAGTTCTTAGACTGCGTACATGTTTCTGATGGCACGTCGTGCATTTTGGAACTTTTCCAAACAAGGTGTCCGCCCAGACACAGATCGATGAAGGGGTTTGCATATTTCTGAAATCTGATTACATATTCGAAATGTGCGTTTGATTCTGATTATGAATATCAAAATAATTTTGCTTTTCTCAAACCTTTTTTTCACTCAGAAGATGACGTGTCAACTAAAATAGTTTCGTGATTGCACGCATGTTTCGCGGGGCACGTCGTGCATTTTGGAACTTTTCCAAACAAGGTGTCTGCCCAGACACAGATCGATGAAAGGATTTGCATATTTTTGAAATCTGATTATATATTTGGAATGTGCGTTTGATTCTGATTATGAATATCATAACCATTTTTCTTTTCTCAAACCTTTTTTTCACTCCGAAGATGACGTGTCAACAAAAATAGTTTCGTGACTGCACGCACGTTTCTCAGGGCACGTCGTGCATTTTGGAACTTTTCCAAACAAGGTGTCCGCCCAGACACAGATTGAGGGAAAATTAGCATTATTCCGAACTCTTTCTTTATATTCAGATTCTGCTTCTGATTCTGATGCAGAATATCAAAACGGCTCTTCTATTGTTCGAATTAGACGGAAGTTATGCAAGTGAACATGAGCTGACGAACTATCAAACCGCATCACTTCTTCTGCTACGTGGATCTCTTTCGGAGCAACAGGAAGCTTTCGATTCGAAATGAATCGGATCGCTTCATCTCCTCTGTGTCTATCTCACTTAATACAAACAGTTGAAAGAAACTTTTTTTTTTTTTTTCATCATGAATTACAAGTTGTTGGCTACGTTGAGAACGGAACGACTGTTCCTGTCATGACAACAGACTTTGATGGCAATTTGAAATTTCATACGGTTGTAGCGATCCCTTCAGTAGGAGGTTGCTTTGGTTTAATGAACACGAATTGGCACTATGAATGAGAAGTAGAATGCTCAAACGCTCAACGTGCGTGACCCTAGTTCCTGCGCTGAAAAAGGTTTGTATCAAGCAGTCATGACAAGAAGTACACATGAACAGAGTGAAGTTCAAGAACCAACCTTTTCTAAGTATTCCTTTCACTCTGTTCCTGTAATCTTTGTTGGACATGAGAACATAGTATGGACTAAATATAGGGTAGATGCACATAGCGATGTAGCAACAACCAGAGATGACTGAGATATTCGAGTTGGAAGGCGGTGTTAAAGGTGACCTCATACCTGTATTTCCCATCCTGAGAACAAAACATGCACTGATAACTAAGAATGGAATGCCCAATCCAACTATCTCGAGAATCATCTGAAGAACATTGGTCTGAGAGTAGGGTAGGAGAGAAGGAGCTTACGAAGCAAAGAATTCCAGAAGTT